CTACTTTTGATGATCCATAACCTGACAAATTCATGCCTTGAGCCTTCTCTTTCTCTAACTGCTCCTTAATCCAAAAGTACGTAATTCTCAATCCATCCTATTAAAATCAGAGTTGAACACACATTAGTTCATTCGGTAGAAGTGAGATTCAGTCAAGAAAACAAATCACTCCTGAAAAATTGTACCTTCAACTTCATGGTAGGGGCCCAGCCAAGCTTCTCCTTAATCAGAGTGTTGTCTGAGTTTCGTCCGCGAACACCCTCAGGGCCAGGGATATGATGGATGGGGAGCTTCTGGTTCTCAAAGCTTAGGACTATCTCAGCCATCTCATTCATGCTAACCATCTCATCACTTCCAATATTTACCGGCTCCCGGAAGTCAGACTTTGTCAATCTGAATGCATTTGAATGTCAAATCAGTATGCATCCATTATACCTTTTCAAAATCCAACTTATTGATTTTCAAATAAAGCTTAAAAGGCAGTTATTTTTCCTATGATGGAGGGATTGATAGAAGAGTATTACAATTTCCACAGTAAACTAAACATTAAACCAATTGATGTGCAATGAAAGCAACAGAATCTTGAGTACCACAAAATATCAAATTGTAGCAACAAATGTTTTCATTTGAAGGCAGTATTACCTTAGGACACCTTCTACACATTCATCAATGAAGGTGAAAGACCGCGTTTGTAGGCCATCTCCCCACATCTCAAACTTATCAGTGGAAGTGAGGGTTTTTCGACAGAAAGCAGCAGGGGCCTTCTCTCTACCACCTGCAAAACAGATCACGAACAATATGCAACAATGAATATGCCAAAATACATAAATATACGTGTGCGGCAGTGTGTATCAAGTCATAACAGAACTCACAACTGGAGGCTGACCTTTCCAAGTTCCAAAGGGTCCATAAATATTGTGGAACCGCCCAATCCGACACTCAATACCAAAGTCCTTATTGTAGTGCTTGCATAATTCTTCAGTCATGAGCTTCTCCAAGCCATAAGCATCTTGAGGCTATTACACAAGCAAAGGGATTCAAAAATGACGAAAACACATTTCATAATTAACATATTTGAATGCAAAGAACTCAGCAGAAACCTCCGCAGGCCAAGCATCAGACTCCTTCAAGCTCACATTACTAGTGTCCAACTGTTTAAATTCAGGGTAAATGCAAGCACTAGATGCATAAAAGAACCTGCAAACCATAATGAGAAATCGAGTTAGCAGATATTCAACCAGCAAAAAAAAAAAAAAAAAAAAAAAAAAAAAAAAAAAAAAAAAAAAAAAAAAAAAAAAAAAAAAAAAAAAAAAAAAAAAAAAAAAAAAAAAAAAAAAAAAAAAAAAAAAAAAAAAAAAAAAAAAAAAAAAAAAAAAAAAAAAAAAAAAAAAAAAAAAAAAAAAAAAAAAAAAAAAAAACCAGAAGTTTGAAATCATATGTGATATCGTGTAAAAAAAAAGACTTCAAAAACAGAATGAACAGATAAAAGAACCATTTCAGTTGTTTTGTAAAATTAAAAAAAAAAAACGAAGTGGAAGGTATTTATAGTGGTGACTAGTGTGGATCAATAGACCCTTGAACATTGCTGAAACCAAGTGGAATAAGTTAACTGAAATGTCTAAAAACAGATAACAAATCCAAGGCAAACAAACCTCTTAACTCCATTGATCCTCGCTGCCTCAAGCATGTTAAAGCTGATCATTGTGTTGTTATACATAATGACGGAATGGTTGGACTGAATAAAACCCATACCTCCCATGTCAGCAGCAAGGTTGAACACATGGTCAACACCAGAAGTGACCTTCAAACAGTTATCCATCACCCTCAGATCAACAAGATGGAACTCATTACAAAACATGTCCTCTGTCATGTGTTCATTTTTCTTCCAGTCAGAAGCAATAATGTAGTGACCTTCACTCTTCAGTCGCCTGGCAATATGCGAAGCAATGAAACCACCAGCCCCCGTTATGGAAACCCGAAGCTTTTTGGAAGGCCAGTACTGTTCCCTTTCCAGGTTCTCATATGTGTATTCACCGTATTTACTTCCCCCAGTAGTTCCCATTCTGCAACAATACACATACCAAAAAAATGTGAAGAGTTTGTAGTGAAGACTTTTCAGCATCTATGATTAATTAAGCATTTTAACATCTAAACAAATCGAATAAGTGCCTTGCCAATGAAGTTTCTTATTGTTAAAAGGGTGCCATCTAAAATTAATGCCGAGGTTGGTTTAAAGGAAGAAGAACAGATACTGCTTAAAATTCCATTAAGGGTAGATAATGTAGGAATGCTACTTTCTGATACTGCATACATTTTCTTATGATCTTATCTACACTTTCCCGGCAAACATAACAGGGTACACAAAAACTGTATGTTAATTGAAAAACAATCACATAACTCCATGCCACAGCATCACTTTAAAACACTCACTGCGGAATAATAAACAAATGAATTTACATAAACAGCAGAAAATCAAAATTAGTGAAACAGAGCATCCTCAACCCTCATGAAACAAGGAAATAAAGACAACCCAACAATCAAAATAACCTGAAAATCACAATACTTGCATAAAGTAAAACATGCCCATAAGCAAAATTATCGAACTGGAGGCAGACGAGACGATGAATGGAAAAGGCAGTGAAAAAATGAAAGAAATCAAAGCAAAACCGCCACGCCCAGAAATTATTTTCAACCAAAATAGTTGCTTACGAACCTTGCAAGCTGAGAGATGTTGGAATAAGATGATGAATTGCAGTGTGAACGAGAGGTTGGAAGATTTCGAATAGAATTCCA